CTGTGGAGGAGCAACACACGTGACAAACCAACTGTTAACCAGTGGCTAAGACTGAACTTTGGTGATAAACCGGCCCCTGACATCGCAACTAACGCTATCAACACGCTAGCCAAGCTTTCGAACGCAGAATTCCCGGAAGCCGCAGAAGAACTCCGACAGCATGTGTACGTAGATGACATCGGTGGCTCCAGAGAAACAGTAACTAAGGCAAAGCAGATTATCAGCCATATCGACGCTGTCCTCGCCAAAGGCAACTTCCAGATCAAAACTTGGTATTCCAATGAGGCAGAAATCGACCAATCCAACGGTGAACGGTTCACGGATCTTCTCGGCCTAAGCTGGGATAAACAGCTAGACACTTTCACCTTCAAAAAGAATGACCTCGGAGAACTGGATGTCCTGACAAAGAGGCGCTGTTTAGGTCTTGTTGGTCAGTTATGGGACCCCATCGGTCTTGTGCTGCCCGTCGCAATCAAGTTCAGAATCGACTTGCAAGGATTATGGAGTTCAGGTTACAGCTGGGACGACATCCTTCCCGAGAGTATTCAGCAAACATGGTTAGAGAATGTCCAGTCCATAAATGATCTCCTGTCATTTCAGTTTGACCGCAAGCTAAAACCAAACAACGCAGTGGGCGTGCCTCAAATTCACGGATTCTCCGATGGTGGTGAGCAGGCTTATGGTGCGGTCATCTTCCTACGACTGTCGTTGTGTTCCAGTCACGATAAAGGCTTTCGTCGCACCTCTGAAGAAGAAGAGCATCCCGAGATTAGAACTGTTGGGCTGTTTAGCATTTGCACGCATGTACGTTACATGTGTAAAAGCATTGGAGTTCGCAAAAGCCCAGGACTGGGAAAGATTCTTCTGGATCGATTCATCAACCGTTTTGTCCTGGATCAGAACGCCACCACGGGAATTCAGGCCTTTCGTATCTGCCAGAGTGGCTGAAATTCAAGAGACGATTGGGGCAGACCAAATACGCTACATCAAGTCTAACAACAACCCTGCAGATGCTCTAACGAGAGGAATCCATCTTAATCATCTCATGAAGTGGTCAGAGGGACCATCCTTCCTAGAGTTGCCAGAAGAAAAGTGGCCCAGCGCTCAAGACCACACCCGAGTTAACACTCATGTGGACGACCTCGACGCTTTAAGAGAGAAGAAAACGTTTCGGAAAGAGAAGAAAGCCGGTAAACATCACAGTGCCGCCGCGGAAGTATGTCCTGAACTAGATCAACCTGGATCTGAAGAAAATCCTATCCTTTTACACTTGCTGAAAACGTGTTCTACGTACTCCAAGATACGGAGAACTCTAGCCTACGTCGGTCGCTTTATTCACAACGCTCGGAAAATGAACCCAAAGTCAGGGCCCATTTCAGTTCAGGAACTGAAGGCTGCCGAGACCCATCCTCTGAAGTGGAGTCAATTTCACGTCAACGAAGACAGCTTGGATAAGAAACTGGTAGCAAAGAAGGATGAAGACGGCTTTTTTCGTGCGCATGGTCGACTTGAAGATGTCAGACGTCTCCCGGAAGAGTTGAGAAAGCCTATTGTCTTGCCAAAAGACCACCCTTTTGTGATCTTGCTTCTGCGTGACCTCCACGAACGACGGACTTGTCCGAAAAGTGAGAATCAAGACAAGAGACGGAGAGTATGACAGACCAATTCACAAGTTATGTCTCATAGCCACTAAAGACGAACTGAATGCGCTCAAGCTAGTCGATAGTAGAAATGGGCTTTAACACCATTTTCTGACACTTCTTTATTGAACATTGAACACTTAAGCCATTATAGTCGTTGCTCAATTAGAACTAATTATTTAGACCTAATTTCCGCACTGGGACGGAGTGATTTGCATTTTTCAAGCCGTTTGTCAATTTTTTTGTGAATATTTAATTATCTTAGCTCAACGCGGCAAAAATAGATCAGGTGACTAATTATTTTAAAAACCTAGAAGTTCGTTACGCAACTTACATTTCAAAAGTGTCACCACAGATCGCACTTCGAAGCTTACTAGCCGCATATGGAACACAAGTTGTAAGTATAATATTTTCCCGTCGCTTCAACCGAAATCGACATGTGTAATAACCTTCTTTGTCATATTAATTTAATTTTTCAGTTGACTATACTACTACAAGTGCAAATAGATTCCATGTACGGTCATGTACGCGAAAATCAGTTAGTGGTGAAATCTTCAACATAAAGTAGCCCTTCAATCACAGGAGCGAATCAGCTTCAGTAACGAGCACCTCTGTGCTTTATGTCAGATTTTGTTTTCGAACTTTTTGCAAAACAAAATAGCTACTTTTTCCTGTCACCTGCCTGACTATAAAACCTACCTAACTTATGTAGTTAAATACTTTTCTTAGGAACAGTAATAAAGGCTTCTGTAAAAATGTCTCTGCCTTGATGGCCAAGCTGAATCAAGGACTCTATATACAGCATTCATTCCAGTTCATCTGACAAAAAGTTTGTGGTTATTTGAAGACTACTGATGTGAGAACCTCTACATTTTTGTTTAAGTGAAGAAGACCATCATCAATCAGATCATCAATCAGGTTCTGATTGATTATGAGAGCTGATGTTTTTTTATTATTATTTAATCATTTAATAATGTCTTTCAACTGCCTTAGAGATAACTTTTATACTTGTATGGCTACAATATTGGACAAAATGTGCTAAGAATTTTGCACTTACTTACACACAGGACACCTACCTCACTATAAACCATCCACTCATCCAACCCTTAAGTCAATGTGGCTCACCCAAGAGCAGAAAACAGACTTGAACATTGTATTTTTTTTTTTGGGGGCAGGGGGATATGACGACATACATGTTTTCTTGACATTTTTGTACAATACTGGTAAATCAAAGAGGCAACTTAATAATAAATATTTAATTTCCATGTAAGTCAAAGGTAAAATACATTATAAAAGGCCGGTAACTGAGACTGTCACTTCAGGAGATTACAAAGTTGCGAAAATGTTAAGGGACCCCAGGTAGGTGAGGTAACGGCTTACCCCACCTAACATGTAAACGAGATCACATTAAAATGAGGCCGCCGAGATTTAGGAATCTCGGCGAGATCTCGGCGAGATCCAAAAATCTCGGCGGCCAAAATCCTGCCGAGAATCTCGCCGAGAGAGATCTCGGTGAAAATTTTGTACGGGTTGCAATCACGTGCACTGTTGCGATATAGGCGATAAGGTATTCAATAAAAACTCTTCCGGTCAGCTAACTCAATATAAGTCTACAATTTGTTTATTTAATTCGCTGTGTAAGCTAGTAGACAGGGGCATCCAACGTCAATGTTCGGAAAATATCTGTTCGGAAAACGATTTGAGATCTAGAATTTTCGGAACATTTGTTGTAAAATTTCTTGCTTTTCTGCCTCTCCTAGGATTTTCGAACATCTAAAAAATGGTATAATTGCCAATTTTTAACGGATTTTTACCCTAAAAAGGTCACCTAGAATTTTCGGGAGCCTTTTTTTGGCTGAAAGTTTCGAAAAGGTAAGTTTTAACCCCTAAGATTTTCGGATCTCTAGACTTTCAGCTAAGAAATCCGAACAGATGAAAAATTTTTATGGGATAAAAATATGCCTATATCTACCGTTTAAATACTAAAATACGTTTAACAATGCTATGTTTAAGTGTTTTTGAACTATATTCTCGTTGGGTGCCCCTGAGTAGAGTAGTAGAGTTGTTGTCAGTAGCCGTTGAAGAATAAACTGCAACCTTAAAGAGAAAGAACAGAGTCTTGGTCCTCTCGTTGTAAAGCCAAGCGAGCTTCACAAGCCCTCAACAACTTCTATAAGCCTTAAATTGGTCCTTTCCACCCTAAATTCGAAATTTCTTATTTTAAGAAAAAAATGTGAACAAATTATAGAATAAGATTTTGTTCCGGGTAAATTCAGCCTGCCTGTTTGAATAAAAGAAAAAAGAGTTCTTATCCTATGACGTGTTTTAAATTTTTCTCGTATAATAAATAAACGTTTTCTTAATTTGAGAGTTTCGGAGCCATCTCGAATTTGGAGTGTTCTGTAATAACTCGTGTCCAGCACCAAAAACGAGAGCAGATTCATGCATTCGACAGGAGACAGGCACCTAGGATCGTATGTTTTGTCTGGTATAATCAAGACAGAATCGATTCCAACACAAGAAATCTTCCCTAAGTAACGTTTTTTTCACGTGGGGATCGAGCGTGTTCACATGATCTGAGAAAGAATATCCCGCCATGTTCGAAAATGCGGTACACCAACATGGCGACTCAAATTTCCCACGAAAAATGTGACGCCATGTGAATACGCTCTATAACTTCACATTTAAAATTACAAAATTGCCATAGCAACGTTCGGTACGTCTCAGCGCCGAAATGGCGGCAAAGTTTTAAAATGTTATGAATGAAGATATCAGGGCATTGAAAGACGCTTCAGAAAACCTGAACACACGAAATCGAAAGAGTGCAGAAAAAAGATTCTGACAGGTATTTGGTTGAAAAATTTTGAAAATTATGAACGTAAGCCAAAATTTATGCCCTGAAGCTTTCAGTGCGTGGAGTTCTTCATCGATGATCAATTTGATAAAAATGTCAAAAACCAACGCTTGTGAGGGTAATTCGTCACCCATGAAATTAATAGGTAATCAAATGGTATACTCGTGAAATCACGGAATAATTTCACTTGCGTTTTGTCCAAAGCCCAATAATTTCCCGAAATTTCACTCGTCACCATTTGATTACACATACTTATCCGTAGAGCAGAAAACAAAACAAAACAAAAAAAATGATATGACTCCGTAGAGAAATGGAGGGACCAAGGGCAATACATGTAGATATAAAAGAACACTGTTTAAGACAATTGCATGATTTTTTATTCTTGGACTTTACATTTAAATGACTCCGAATGGATGAAAAATCCCTTGATAGACGTAGCTCTTACACAGTTTTATTTTTAACATCCGTTAAAAAAAAAAAAAACCCGTTGATCTAATGGCAGGAGCCTACTGCTGAGCTCTTGGCACTTCTTCGATGAAGATACGATTCACTGCATTATGCCAACCGGTGAAGGCGTCAGCGGCCTTATATGAACCACGTTTACATTTCCCAACCCAGAATCCCACTCGCACCCTTCCCTTCTGAATGTTTTTGCAGTGACCTTCAATATGGCGGTGACGGTGAAGATTATGGTTTTTGCCTGATCGCATGTAGAATACTCCGTCGATAGTTCCAGGAGAGCTGCACTCGGCTCCATTGAAGATGAAATACCAGCGACTACAGCAGCGGTCACATCCTTCAATCCTGAGGTTACCAGCATAGTAGACATGGAGGACAGTGTCCGGGTATTTCTTTACAAAGTCACAGTTCTGAAAAGAATAAACAAAAACGAAATGGTTAAAATTGTGGCATCTGTGGCAGTGTGAAACCAATTATACTGATGAAAATTCTTTATTCATTTCTTCTTTTTACACAAATATCTTTCTCACTTACATGAATCAGTCCTGAATCTTTATTATCGTATTTTGTCCAGGTGCACTCCTTCCAGTTTAAGTATGAAGCCAGTCGTGGCGTTCCACCGTCGCCTTTGTCCCCTCGCTCTCCTTTTTGTCCGACAGAACCCTGGATCCCAGGTTCTCCCTTTGCTCCTTTCTTTCCATCAGCACCACGTGGTCCCTGGGTTCCAGTTTTCCCCGGGCTACCCAGGGCTCCATCTCGACCAGGTGCCCCAGGGGCTCCTGGGACACATGTCATGTATGTCCACATCCCGGTTTGTCCGCCATTATCACAAGATGGACAAGATGAAACAGACTATCAAAAAGAAAAAACGTCAAAGGCAAATTGCTAGTAGCTCTTCAAAATTTTATCTGTCATCTAGCGTTTCAATCCAGGTGAGGAAGTGCTTACTGATTTTCGTTAATTTGCACTGGATTTTAAATTTGGGTTTCTTTTATCTATGAAATCGTAAATTGTGATTAAAGAAATTCAGTCATCTTTCAGTAAAAAAGCTATAAACTAGTATCTACCTGGTAAGTAATAATGTTACTTTTGATTGTTTTAAACGTGAAAATGTACTCTCTCTTCTCAAAATATCTATCCCTTTTTGCTGTGAAATAATCATACCAAATCATACCACCTTAATTTTTGTTTGAATTTCGTTCGGCAACCCGAGACTGATCTAGTAAAATTACCATATGATACGTTCTTCCTAGTTTTCTCCATAAACTGACATTATTCCGCTGTAGTAAAAAAGTGTAGTGGCCATGAGTGTAACAGTTACCTTGGTGTCTGATGGTTTGTTGTCCTTAGCAGAGCACAAAGCGGTCATGAGCGATAAAATCATTACAAACAACATAATGGTCACTACAACTCGTGATCGCTTCATCAAGGCCCTCTAACTTGTGCACTGAAATTAAAGTTTGTTCATGACATGAAATATTTTAATCAGTTTAAACGAAAACTCAATGAATATAATGAATGCTATTAATATTTCATATTTAAGATATGCCTTGGAAAAATGAACGGCTTGAATGCTTTGGAAACTCGAGGACTTTTTATATTTTTAGAAAATAAACGAATTTTTTCCTGTCAAATTCTAAGGTCGTTTAACGTTATTCTAGCGTCTTTAGAAGTTAACTTACCTATGTTCGCTTCACGATTGCCAAAGCCAAATGATAGCAATGATTATCGCGAAAGGTTAATTTATCTCTTTTGCAATACTTACTTAACTTTTCACGTTTTTAAAACAAGTTTCAAAGAGGTTATGTCCCAGTTATTACATCTCACGCAGAAAAGACGTCAAACATTTTGATTGGTTCTTTGATTTAACATGAGGAAATTCGTGTCTTGTGTTTTCCACTCACTGATTTCCTGTACAGATTATGCTTTTGTTCCATGTCGAGCTTCTACCAACCACAAAATCATTTATTGTCAATCAACGACGGATTTACTTAATTTTTTTACGTGTAGCATCTATCCCTTAACGCCCCTGCATAGCTTAAATTGTGTCCTTTAACCGCCGGGCGATCTTTTGTTCCGGTGTTGCAGCTGTTCGGGGATGACCGTCAGCTCATCACCTTTTTCAGTTTGCATGACTGAGTCTTAGTATAATGCAAACGCTGTCGTCGTTGAAAAATTAGAACATTTTTAAAACTATGTTACTGAAGACTCAAGAGAATCAAAGTACAATTTTCTTTGTTCATTTCTCTATCCAGAATAAAGCACAGAATCTACCCACATCCAAATTCGAAAATCCCTCTTTTTGAAAGTTAACACACACAGTATATCCAATTAAGACATTTTGTAATCGTTTTAAGCTTTTTTTTTAGTGTTTTTCGATAAAGAAGCGAAACACGAATCAAGTTTTGTACTAATCATTGGATACTGAAAATCCTCTCTTTTTTACCGTGGTAAATGTTTCGCTACTGGTTCTTGACATTATACCTTAAATCTTTCTGTGTATTGAAGAGTCATGGCTACTCTGATCCGTGTACTTGGAAAATGTTTGGGAAACGACAGACATTACTGTGGGTGTAGGGATATAAGACGACGTGTAGCGTATATGTGATTTACCTTGTTTGTCATTTTGTTTTCATTCCTCAACTGACTCAACTAGTGATCTGTCGTCATGAAAGAAAGGAGAAGAAAGAAGAAATAAAATGAAACTTTGTATTAATAAGCATAATTTCAGTAAAGCGAGATTAAAAGAGGAAAGTTTCGTACATACAAACACTCTGCTAGGAATCCCAGAATTTCCTTGTTTGAATAAGTTTCTCGTCGAAACATGCTCACGAAATAACCTACGTGTGTATTCTAATTTCTGTTAATCAATATCAATTTCGCTTCCGGAAATATTAGGTTGCTAAGTAATCGTTACGCCCAATGAAAGGCCTCTTTGATATCATAGTTTGAACTAAACATTTGTTGCTGAAGTTCTACTAAATCATTGTATCCAACACATCACAACTTTTACTAAAATTAAATTGATGTTATTTTTATATATTAACCTAAGGTGCAACTGTAGAATTGAAAGAACTGTGATATCGCGAGATGATGTCATAGGGAAATTACAACTATGCCTAACTGACCTCGAATTAAAAGAGTGGTCGATTATTATCCTCATAATTTGCAACTCTCTTTCCATCTTAGTGGGCTTGTCCATTCTGGTCCATTCTAATTTCAACCAGCGAATAATCTCAGTGCAACAAGTTAATTTTAGTGATCTTGAACAGTCGCTCGATGATTCACCATCTGTGGCGTGTAGCAGTTCGTGGTTCGTGCTTCGTGGTCAAGAATTTGCTTGATTTTCTTGAAATTTGTGATGTAGGGAACCAGTATTTCTTGAAAATATTTATTAATTTTCCTTGAAGGAAGTCATAAATCGTTTGTATGAAGTACGTTATGGTTCAATGGCAACTCGATTAATCAACAAGCTTGTCGAGCTGTAAAAATGAAGAAACTGTGCTTAGTTTCAAATCGTCACCTGCTTTTGATTACGAAGCTAATGTGTCGCTGTGGTCAGTATTTATAATCAGGTGCTGTAAATTTCAATTTTCTTTAAGTTCAATATTTCGAATTTATCATTCACGACCACCATTACAACCTTTTGTCTGATTAACAATACTGTTGATTTTGTTGGGCAGGGTTAGTCCTATTAAAACTATTTTATAACTCACGTTTGAAGAAACGTCCTGACTTGATACCGCGGCGGTGATTCTCTACCGTGCCCCGACCAGTCCTCGATGTTTCCAAAATGTCCAATTTAGCTTAAGTCGTAAATTTCTACTGTCCATGGTTATACATGTATCTAGAAAACAAAAATTGGACAAATGTTTTGGCAAGGATCATCCACTAGCTAGAATAGATATGCATGCTACTAAAACAGTTAAGATGAGATGATTTCAAAGTAGGGAATTCGAAACGATCCTATAGATCAGATTTGGATTTGGGATTTCTTTTTTGCCTATTCACTGTTCTTGGATACAGTGTGAAAAGTCTAAATTTTATTGAACTTTTCTCCGCTCCTCCAAGAAGTCGAGGTTCGCTTGAAACAATTATACTGCAAGAGAACATGTTTGCTTGCCATGCTGTTAGCAGAATCATTCTTCGGAAGATTTGTGCACTAGATGTATAGCACTGCTAATTTCTTGCTTACCGTTCGAAATCATGAATGAAAGCCTTTAGTTTTGGATTTTGGAAATGACTTCATTCAGTTGCTTATTCATTGTTCACCTTACTGAATTAACTCTCGGTTAGCTTTGTAATAGTATTTCACTCTTGTTTAATATATAAACTTGCGATTTGTTCTACGGCTGATCAATTTTGATAGCTTTAGCGCAACGAAAAATTTCTGTAACGAGAAATTGTGGCCTAAATTGAAGAGCTCTTCATTGAAAGTTTACGCATAACAGACCGAAATTTTGATAAAATTTCAACAGAGTTAGTTTTGGCGCATAGTCGCCAATTGGGCTGGGAATTTTAAAATTTCTAGGGTTGAACCTATGTTTTGAAATTGTGTATTACCTCAAAAATAATGAGTTTGAAACTTTCTTAGTAAATTTAATCTAACAGTTACTGAAATTTCTAGAATATTTCATCAGTGTATATTGATATTTGGAGCTGTGAGAGTGTTTTTATGGGTAAAATTTGAATCCCTGACCCGTAGACGGAAATTTGCTGTCATGTTGTGCTTCAAAATTTGGTGACGGTACAAGACCAAAATAATTTCGGAAATCGCCTTGGGATTCCACATATTCACAGACGATTTACAGAAACCCTTGAATAGACGGTGAGTTATGTATACGAAAGGGAACGGGAGTCAGGTTAATATATTAGAGACCAAACTAGAAAAACCGAATCGACATGAATATAAAGACGTACTGCAGTTCCCATGAAAGTGGGAAGTTAAATAGTGCTTATTGACCTTTTACCGTCCATCGTTCTGTATATTATATTGAAGAGTAATTCCTACTCTTATCCGTGTACTTGAAATATGTTTTTGAAACAACAGATATTACTATGGGCGTAAAGAGATAAGAGCACTAGTGGCGTATATATGAATTACCTTGTTTGTCATATGTTTTCCTTCTTCAACTGGAGATCTGTCTTCATCAAAGTTACGAGAACTGGGAAAAAGAACAATTATCAAAGAAACATTGAATCAAAAATCATAATTTAAATAAAGCCAGAGAAGAAAAGAAAGCTTCGAACACTGTACATACGAACACTCTGCTAGGGACTGAATCATAGAATTTCCTTGTTTGAATAAGTTTCTCGTCAAAACATGCTCACTAAACAGCGGGCGGGCTATAAGTATGTATTCTAATTTCAATTAAACAATTTCATTTGCTTGCGGAAATATTAGGTTGCTAAGTAATCGATGCGCCCAATGATTTAGGTCTCTTTGCATGATTTTTGAAATACAAATTTGTTTGTTTACAACTAAATCATTGTATTCAACAGATCACAACTTTTACTAGAAATAAATAGATGTTGTTCGCGGATTTTTTTATTCAAGAGCGATTATTTATATATATAACCCAAGGTATAAATAATTGAACGAAAAGTTGCAGTCTGAGATATCGCGAGATGATATCACTTAGTGACATTATTTCTCTAAACTGAACTCGAATTGAAAGAGTGGTACATTATTATCCTCATAATTTCAAACTCTCTTCCCGTCTTAGTGGCCATTATCCATTCTGGTCCATTCTAATTCCAACCAGTAAATAATCTCAGTTTAACAAGTTAACTTTAGGGTTCTTACAGTCAGTCATTCGATGATTCACCATTTGTAGTGGCATGTATCAGTTCATGCTTCCTGCCTTCATGTTCAAGAATTTGCTAATGACTTTTTTATTTCTTCAGACGCACTAAATAAGTCCTCCCAGAAAACAAACAGTTTCTTTATTTTCAAAATTCTCAACTCACTTTCTGTCGGTTTTGGTTTATATCTTTGGACAACTGTATGGTCCTTTAAGAAATATTAAGTTCGGCTTTTTAATATCTGTACAAAGAGTGTGATGCTGTGTAAAGAACCATTATATTCCTTTGTAAGTAAGAGACAAATCATTTTGAAAAAGTAGATTTTGGTTTTGTAGCTCGATAAATTAACAAGCTTGTCGAGATGTAAAAATGAATAAAGCCGGTTTATTGGTTTCAAATTGCTGCATTACTCTAAACGTCACTTCCTTTTAATTACGGAGCTAATGTGCCGCTGTGTTCAACACAATTTTTATTATTATTATTATTGGTCGTGTTAATCAGGTGCAGGTGTTCAGGTAGATATCAATTTTCTTTAAATTTATTTCACTATTTCGAATTTATCAT